CTGTCTCAAATTAATTTGCACATTGCCATTCCCATAGTTTCATTATTGTCAAATTCCTTTTCTAGCATTTTAATTTCATTCCTGGAGCAGAACTCCAGCATTCCTACCAATTTTTAAAAGAAACTACTCACACCCCTATCCCTTTATTCTGCTTTTACAGAATAATTCTAAGGCCAGTGGTTTGATAACTGGACATTACTAATCTCAAATACATTCCTCCTATTCAGTTCATATACTTATTTTCTAACTGTAGAAAGACCTACTTAAATCCATCGTCTTTCTGCAGACTCGCAAACTTTAGCCAGGAAACATGAAATCTAGAATGTTGCTTTTGTGGAACAAAAATGAAAGATTGTGAGTGCTATATGCCCTGTCTGTAAAATATCAGAAGGCACCTCTTGTGAATGGCAGTGCTGATATAGTATTAGAGGAAAAACGCTTGACTGGATAAAGATTTGGACTTCATTGGTTTTTCATCTGTACACCAGGTTTTCTAACCTGGTAGAGTGTATATAATGTATGTACATATACATATACATATACACATACATACATACATACATACATACAGTTAAATAAAAATGAGTCCATCAGCAGTGTTTGATTTGTCAAATTGTTGGGGTGGGTAGTTGTAGGGAAGTTTTTTTTTCCTTGTGTGCGTGTGTAAGATATACAGTTGTTTTCAATCACTGGTAGAAAATTAAGAATGTAATGTTCTTTGTATTGCGGATTGACTTAAAAGGGAAAAAGTTGAAAAAGGTGTGCCTGGATATACGTAGGGATTATTGCTTAGTAAAGAAAAGTAACTTCCCTTCTGTTACCAATTTGTTACAGAGTACCATAGGTACTTAAGTTACAAGTTCTCCAATGTGTACCTTGCTCTATTCAGAGAGAAAGCAGTACAGTATCTCTTAAGATGACATGTTTATTGAGAAAAGCCCTCTCATTTTCTCTGAACTGCCTGTTTCTATGCCAAGTTCAATGAGAGCTTGAAGGTAGACTAATATGTTGCAGAGCAAGAAGCAAAAGTGGAGAGCCCTTTACATGTTTGCAGTACTGTTAGTTAAGTATGTCTTGCAACACGTGTGACATAGATTCCCAGAGGAGGGTTGAAATACCAGTGTTTTGCAGATTTTGTGTTCATTCACAAAGATGAAATATTTTAATAAAAGGACAAGAATTGGAAAATAAATCAGTGATATTCTACATCACTATGTAGCAAATACTCAGAATCCATATTCAGAAAAATACTAAGACAAATCATGAAGATTGCTGGGATCCAATTTTTTTAGACACATCTTACATTACAGGGTTTATGCACACTTTTCCCTTTGTCCACAATGTTAAAACTATCATATATATGTCATTCACACTGCAGGTAGTCCAAATTTGGGGATTTGGTAGCACATTATGAAGGAAACTATTGAATTTTGTTTCTCAAGAAGACTCTAAATCTTTGTATGGGTCTGGTAAATGACAAGAATGCAGACTACAGGAATGACCAATGCAGGTAACAAATACTGAGATAAGAGACATAACCCCACCCCACCCCCACCCCTTCCAACATTCTTTTAAAAATCAAGAAGACTCTAAGCTATTGAAAACGTAAGTATTCCAGCTTTAAATGCCCTCATAGGCTACCAGGTGCAGAACTGTTATTCTCTGCATGTTTAAACTCTCCATTTCATTCACACCATTGTTAATAAGTTAGGGTAACTTAGCCAAATTTAAGAAGCTGAGAAGGCATGTTTGATGAGTGCTTTGAAAAAGAGTGAAGCGCTTCAATCTATAAGTGCTAGAGGGGGAAAAGCAGTACAACTCAAAAAGGGCCAGGAGAGTTTGTTCTCTGTGCAACCTTGTGTAAGCGACTGTTCCCTTCTTTGAGATTTAGGATTTAACCCATAAGAAGTGCTAAGATTCTGCTCAACTTTGAGCAGCATTGAACTCCCAAGCAACAGAATAGAGGTGGGAGTTTGGTTTTTTGGCAGAATTTCATCCTATACATCTTCAACCAAAAATTCATCCATGCCTCCTTTACTGGTTTAGTACTCTGGTATTTTAAAGAGATAAATCAAAGATTTATGAATTAGCCTAAAAAAAAAACCAAAGTTCTCTATATAGAAATCTAGCTGAGTGCTGAAATCCACAACTTAATATACAGTAAGTGCTAGAACTGGAAAGATATTCTTTCTTCCTGACAATCTCATTTGACTCTTCTTTCCCATTTATTAATACCCATCTTATCCAAGATGAGTACTTCTGTGGAAAAGACTTCAGAAAAATTCAAATGGCATATTTTTTGCTGTTTTAATACAACAGAACAGCTGTCATATTGGCAAGCAAGTTGGTTGGCTCAAAATTGTCTGTGCTGAAAATCTTGACTCAATACTTGGCTCCAGAACCACTAGACTCCCCTCCAGCCCATCACCTCAGCGCTTGGGCTCCAGACCTATGACAGGCATTTCTGAAGGGTTGCATCATACCACACAGCAGCTCCCTAGACAGCCCAAGCGGGAAAGTGGAGAAACAAGCCCTAAAGCAGCAGGAACAGTTGAACTCTGGAGAAACAGGGATCCTGATTTCATACTGTCATGAAAATAGCAAAAGGGAAGTAAAGACGCCACAATGGTATGAGGAGTCTGAATCCCAGTGTTTGTTCCAGTTTGGTGCAGTAAGGCTAAATGCCTATTTAATTCTTGCTTGCGTGTCTCTTGTTTCCCTTTTCAGTAAGCAATTACAAATTCTTCATTCCAGTTTCATTGCACAAATATTATGAACACTGCAACAGCAAACTCTTGCATTAATATAATCTGTACTTTAACCTCACAAATAGAAAGGAATTGGTCTACTTTCCAAATGTTATAATGAAGCTGGGGGGGCTTATTCATTGCAAAGTTACTGTTCATTCCTTTGCCTATTTTTTTTACTTCTACTTAAGAAAGAAAGTGATCCTTCTAAAAAATACAAAATCTCTTATATATGCCATCCCATCTGCCAAAGTGCTTCAGTCTTTGAAAATAATATTTCAGTGGTTCATTCATAATTTGACTATTGAAAGCCATAAGTGGAAAAAATGTATTTTCCTATTTCAGACTAGATAAACTTTTGTTTCCTGCACAAATAGTAAATCAACAGGGAATGGCTGGACACAGGTCATTGTCAAACAGCAACATTTTGTTTTCTAGTTCACATGCTGGATTAGAACCTCTAATAATGGATTACTTATTTGAGTTCCAGGTTGCAACATTACCCAGTTGTCTGGAAAACCACCTCTGAATACTTTGACTCCATAATTATAGCTGATGTAAATAATAATTAGGGTCTTAATAATTTTTAACCTTTACCTCCCCCTCTTCTTTGATTCTCAGGATTATGAGTCATGTAATTGTAATAATTGCCTTCCCAATAGTAGGAAACAGTAAATGCTAAGATCTAGATGCAATTTGTTGTTATCTTGGTACCATGCAATTGTCTTGGTAGAGATTCTGACAAAAAGGTTCTGTCTTATGTGTCTGGAATCCTATCTAAGTTATTCAAACTTGAAGATTACAATTATTGTATTCTCAATATATGGCTAATGTTTCATCACTTGAAGAGTAATTATCTTCTGTCTAGTTTCAACAGACTCTTGAAAACAGAACAGCAACACTAAGTTAAATTAATTCAACCTGTGGCATCAACTTCAGTAGAATTCTATTTAGAAAGCATTCCCTGTTATGCTTCCCTGCTATTCCCTGTTTAATTTTCTTACGTTGTCCTAGGTTTTGTTGCTTCAAGCAGAAGCAGAATTGGACAATATTGTTTGGTTGGGTGAAGGAAAGTCATCCTATGATTTCATAGAAAGCTGGAAATTAAGTAAAACTTATATAAGTGCATTTAAAATTAATTTAAAAAGGATTAAAATGTTAGGGAGGGGGAAAGGAACAGTACAGAGCAACACATCCTATTATTCAAGGATTGATATGTCAAATATTAGCCAGTGGAAAAAATACTGTACATAACCAGAGTAAATGGATGGATCTAGTTGAGTCCTGCAAATAATAAAGGAAAACTACTAATCCTATCATATATACATGCATATATATGATTTTTTTCCATTGGAATATTAAGCAAAAGTGACACAGAAAAAAAGATTCTATTGCCAGGAATAAATAAATAAAAGAAATGTTCTGTCTTAACTTCATCCTGCCTGGAGAGATTCCTGTTCTATAGGTATAATTCTTTATCTTTACATGGACAACACCCTTTCCATGGTCCTTTTCGCACTACCTCAAAGGTGGATTGAGGGTGAACACATGTAATTTAAATTCATTGAATTTGTTTCTCAATGTTCTAAGAAATAGGAGCTGAAGAATAATGACTTTTGGAGAAAGATTGCTCAGGTTGTATGAAGATATTGAAAATAAAGAGTTGAATGTGAATACAAGGCAGCTAAAATTAACAGTTTATCCTCCACTTAGATAATTCCTCCAACACCCAGCCTCCCCAACTATGCCTCCACTTCATTAGTTTTTCTTGCTATCATGCAACTCACAGAAGCATTCCCAGTTTTCATTTCTTTGGAGTCTCCCATCTCTTTAGGGATTCGGTCTCTCAAAAGGCAGGCAGGTTCAGCAATCCTCAACTTCTAAATCATACTTTCCCTCCCACCCACCTCCCCCAATCCAAAATGGCACATATCCCACATGCTGGCAGATTTCGTTCATCTCAATATAAAATATTCATTTTAACCCCCTTCCCCCCATTTATCTATAACTTCATACAACATTTTATTCCATGTTATCACAATCTAGGAAGCTTTCGCTCTTGTAAACAGGTTGAATAGCTTCTTTTTTCTGATGAACTTTTCACTTTATAACCATTTTTGCTTCTCAGATCAAGAGAGGAAGGGGGGTTGGGAAGAAAGAGAATGCCAGTAAAAGTAAAGCTTGAGAAGTGTTGGGTCAAACAAAGAGTTTGAGGAGGAGAGAAGAATGCCTGTTTCAGATCTGCCTCAGGGATGAAAGTATTGATCCAAGCCAACTCATCCACTCTCCATTAATGTGATGTCTGTTTTGATTATTGCACAGCGCATGTTGTCACTTCAGAGATTTTCAATACAATTCTATTCATTTTGTTCTTTTCCCACAATTACTTTCTCTTCAAAAGTGTTTTAAAATGCTAATGAATGGATTCATCAATGTCAGGGTGCATCATCGAAACAAGAATCCGGGGGAACAGGAAAAGGATGTAACAGAACAGGCTGGGAGTTTAAGAGCATCCACACCTGTCAACAACCATGCCAGGGATTTTGCCATAGATGATCTGCTGTTTGTCATTGAAATACAGCATGTTGATAGGGGACATCTTGGTGGGTGTACAGCATGGCCCTGCTGAACCCCGGGGATTAGCTTGCTGCACCAAGTGGGTATGGGGATATTTCTGCATGAACATATATTCACACTGGCCTGAACAATAGTTGGCTTTGTACCGCTTCGGGGCAATAATCCAGTCCCAGCCGAAGGCTTCAAAGTCAACAGTCAGGGGGTACCGGCAGCAGCGGGATTCAGTTGAGTGCTCATCACAGTCTAACCCTAAATTCCGTCGGGACCGTTTGTTGTTCTCCAGCACACGCAGCTCCATGAAGGGGTGCTGCAAATGACATACAAAAAGAGAAATCACAAAGATATGCATTTAGGTAGAATGACTCTTTGTCCAGTGATGAGCTAACAGTTTCTAACTGAAGAAAACAGCCTACGACAGAGTTTTGATGGGTGTCAATTACTGCCGGCCTCATCTATGCAACCTTTGCTGTCTCTTTGTAAAGTAAACTAATCTTACAAATATACATTCACCTCCACAGACTTACCAAATTAGTACCACTTGACCATCTTTCCAAGACAGCCTACCAATCAAAATCTTAGTTATCACAGCATCTAGTTATTTATTCAGTTCCTAATAGTAATCCTGAGCTTTGCTCCTTTAAAAAGAAGTGCTCCAGCTAACGTCATTAAGCCTAATGATGAAATATTTCTTAAGCAAATGCAGGTCTACTATGAAAAAATATTCCGTGAAAAAAGTGGAATGTTGATCCATCAGTTGCTTTCAGAAAAAAAAAAGTGTATTCAGGCTAAAAGATCAGTTTGTATGTAAAGGACAAATAGAACTCTGGAAGAGAATTTTTTTTATATACAGGTGAAACTCGAAAAATTAGAATATCGTGCAAATGTTCATTTATATCAGTAAGGCAACTCAAAAGGTGAAACCAATATATGAGATAGATGCATTACATGCAAAGCGAGATATTTCAAGCCTTACTGACATAAATGAACATTTGCACGATATTCTAATTTTTCGAGTTTCACCTGTATATAATCTATCTCATATATTGGTTTCACCTTTTGAGTTGCCTTACTGACATAAATGAACATTTGCACGATATTCTAATTTTTCAAGTTTCACCTGTATATATTTTATTTTGTATTTTTTGTTAATTATATATGGGTCATAAGAAATTCTTAGCTAAGCTAAAAGAGTTATTAGGTAATTATAGTTAAAGGGTAAGTTCCAAGGAAATAATTCAAAATGAGAAGGGAGAGGGTTTTTTATATAAGAAAACTAAGATGAAACTCATATTAGTAATTTGCTAAATGTTTATTTGAAAAAATAATTTGAAGAGATATAGGATTAAATTAAGTAAGGGAATAATATATAATGTAATAGCTCTCTGAATAAACAGAGAGCTAATTCTAATAAGGTACCACTTTAAAATACATCCTGCTAAATTCTGAATTCCTGAAAAGGATATTTCATTAGACCTCAAACTAGCACAAACTGAAATTAAGTTGTCCTCATTTTTCTACCTAAATGATATTAAACTGATATAAACTTATCTTAATCCTATATCTGAAAGCAACAAATGTTATGTCTAAGTTGATGCATGTCATTGTAATGAGAATATTACGAGAGTACTGATCGTATTATTATCAAGCAAAAGCCACTAATTACAACAAGCACAATGACTTTGCAATACCATGACTGACGTGTAAAGGCCTTCTCTAAATAGTAGCACTGCAGTCCCCAAGTGACCGTAGAGGTAGCAAGAATTCCCCACAATGTCTTAGTCTTACCACTGAGAATACCATAAGGCTACTATTGAGATGAAACAGATGAAAGGAAAATACTTTCCATTTTCCACAATAACATCCTAACCTGCACTTGACTGCATTTGATTATTACATTATACAGTGATACCTGAGAGTTAGTATTGATTCTGAAAGACAGCACTCCCTAGTGAACTCCCACAACAGTACCACTTACCCTAATGTTAAAACTAGGCCAGGCAAAACAGAGCTCATCATTGACAGAGCTGTCACCCCTTCGAGGTAATCCAGACAAGAAACCAGAACCATGAGTACTAATTCTACCTTTATTGTAAGGTTACAGTATCTTGCAAGTCTGTAAGCACTTACCCCCTCCCCTGCCTTTACTTTCCAAAACACTAGGGAAGGTCCCTTCTGAGTCGCTTTCTCCACCCCCATCCCTTCTTTTGACTCAGATTTCATTTATCAGACTGCTGTCTAGGCTGCGGCTCTTTCTCCTGTCTCACAAGGTTATTCTTGGAGCCCATTATAATGGCTTAAGATATTTGATTTGTGAGCTCAGTGGGAAATCAGAATATTTCATGGGCCTCTAGCATCTCTATCAGGGCTAGGATCAAGAAAGAAGTGGATAGCAAATGTTCTCGTTTACCCACCAGGCCTTCAGCACCAGGCCCAAGAGAAGTCACAGCCAGGTCATTGCCACTGGGATCAAAAGCATTGATCTCGATACCCCAGTTGTTCTGAGGCTGCTTGAACCAGTTCTGTAGCACATGCTTGAAGTCAATGCTCTGCCAGTGGCCAATGCGTGAATTCAGGTCAATCTTGAGTGAGCGGATGCGGATGTGGCGGCTACCATCCTCTGTCACTGGCTTAAGACGCAGGATCTGTAGATAAACTGTGGATGTGTGTTGAACAGGCCGTAGGTACACCCAGAGCTGTGCCTTTACTACCTTGGTGAACATAATCTTGGGGCTGAAGTTGAAGAAACAACAATGTGGATTGCCTTCGATCTGTACCACTGGGTCCGCTGGCAGAGAAAGACAAAAAGAGAAGTAGTGAACAGAAGTTCTTCATAGCCCTGGTTTCCCACAGTCCTAATAAGTTTCTGTCTAAGGAGCAATTAACAGCATTATAATTACATATAAAAATTGGAGCAATCGCATGATAGATAGTGGTATGAAACTGTTAATGCTGTGCCTGCAATGAAGGGAATGTTAAACAATAAGATTTCTCTTAATTGGCAGTATGAATTGGCCTGAAGCACAAGGAATATTAAAATCCTCAAGATAAATGTTTATTTTAAGTAAATAAAAGTAATTAAGAAACCATTTATTCCATATCCTTATCCAAATCATTTATTCCATATCCCATATCAATATTCTAAATGATGTAACACAAAGATAAAGAAGCCACTGGAGAATTAGTAGCCATTAAATGGGATATTATTAGTGTCCCACCACTGGAAGATGGAGTCAAAAGGGTTAGAATTAGAAAAATCAACATTATGGCATTGTATAAGATAAAATAAAAAATCACAACTAGAGTTTTAAAAAAGTTCTGCCTTTGGACAGACATTAAGATGATTATGCTCTCTATTAAATTCAATGCCTAGACCTGAGTTGACTTCCGCATTAAAAAAAAAGGCTTGTAATTCAGCAGAAGTTCTTCAGGAGAAGATCTTGTTGCTTAAAAGAAAAGGTAAAGATTACTTTCCCTCTCGTCCTGCAGCCTTTCATTGCAAGGCTTCTCTAAACCCTCAACAATAAAAAATTCAAGCCATATAAGAAAGGGGAAACAGGGAAACTCACCTCCCCCACTACTATTAGCAGGACTACTCCATTAATAGGTCTGTATTCACAGAATGTTCTAGCAGCTGAATGGAAATCAAGATCCAAATCCACTTATATATTATCAGTCCAAAACTAAACCAATTTATAGGAATTGAGTGTTTGGGTGAAGTTGTCTAGATAGTATCTGATTTTATAGGTTACCAAATAATTTGGATGTGTGATATAGATAATGCCAGTGCAGTGTAATGGCTAAAATATCGGGAAAATGATCCAGGAAGCCCAGGTTTGTATCCCCATTCAGCTATGGAATTCAATGGGTGACTTTCAACCTGTTACTACCTTTAACTCCAAACCAATCTCATAGAGAGCCAGTTTGGTGTTGTGCTGAACATGCTGGCCTAGAAACCAGGAGACTGTGAGTTCCAGTCCTCCCTTAGACATGAAAGCCAGCTGGGTGACTTTGGGCCAGTCCCTCTCTCTCAGCCCAACCCACCTCACAGGGTGTTTGTTTTGGGGAAAATAGGAGGCAGGGGTATTAGGTATGTTCACCACCTTGAGCTATATATAAAAATGGTGGGATAAAATCATCATCCATCACCATCATGCCCTTCATCCAGGCAGTGATATTGGCAGACTCTACCTACCAAGGAGCATAGATGGCCGTGGAATGTTGCAAGTACATCAGATAGTTGAAGAAGAAAAGAGGACATTGGAAGAATAACTGAAGGACAATGAAGAAGATGCACTGAAGCTAGTACACCATGAAGGCTTACTGAATACCAAAAAAACCAAACTGGCCTGTAAGAAAGACCAAATGAAGAACAGAAGAGAGATATGGCAAGGCAAAGTATTACATGCCCAGTACACACACACACACATAACTAGCAGGCAAAGCAGATAACAAGATCTGGCAATGGCTAAGAGCAGAAAAGTTGAAGAAAGAGAGGGGCTAATTTTTGCTGCACAAGATCAAGCCTTAAAAACAAATGCATACAAAGCCAGAATTGAGAAGACAGCAACAGATAGCAAATGCCGCCTCTTCAAAGAAGCTGAGAAACAGTGGGCCACCTAGTTAGCTGCTGCAAGAAGATTGCACAGACTGACTACAAACAACAGCATGACAAAGTAGCAACAATGGTGCATTGGAATAGCTGCAAAAAATGCCATTTACCTGCAAGCTAGAACTGGTGGGACCACAAAATAAAGTAATAGAAAATGAAGAAGCTAAAGTGCTCTGGGACTTTAGAATCCAAACAGGCAAGCACCTCCACACAACCCCCCAGACTTAACAATTGTCAATAAAAAAGACAAACAAGTCTGGATAGTGGACATTGCAATACCCAGAGACAGCAGAATAGAAGAGAAAGAGCTGGAGAAAATCACAAAATACAAAGACCTTCAAATAGAAGTAAAACAACTGTGGCAAAAGAAAGCAAAGGTAGTACCAATAGTAATAGGTGCCTTGCTCCAGATGTTTTGCATTCCCAAAACATCTGGAGCAGCACTTGAACACCATCGGCATTGACAAAATCACCATCATTCAATTGCAAAAGGCAGCTTTACTTGGAACAGCTTACATCCTGTGATGATACCCTTAACACCATC